TATAAAGAAGATAAAGCAGCTAGCTGATGTGATGCCTTCTTTAAAGATTTCCACTGTTATGTTACTGACAAAAAAATCCTCTAGACTCACGCAAGCGATGAGTACTGGGGCAGTCCTAATAGTTCAAGACAAAGTTGGTGTCAGAACAATTTGTGGATACAAATACGACACGTTTCAAAGATTCGGAGCAACACTGCCACTCTACCTTCAAGGAAATCTTAGCAGTCAAGAAGGGAATAGAAAGATTCCATTTCCATCTAATCGGTCATGACTTCCCGATTGAAATGGATATGTCTTCTTTTCCCATGCATGCTCCATTTTAAAAGAAAGATACTCCCGGAAGCCCAACTTTTGAGGTGGGCAAATTGGTTCTCTCAATGGAAATTTACTTTAAAACACATCAAGGGGTCAGAAAATATTCTAGCAGATTTTCTGTCCAGGCTAAATGACTATAAATATAATGTTCCAAAAGACATCTAGATAGTTCACAAAGCCAAGATCCTTCCAATGGTGTTTCCCGTTGAGAAAGCAAGCTCTTCCAGCTTGTTTACTCTAAACACTTCTCAACCTTCGCAACAAATCAATCCAGTTGAAGATATCACAACTCCACCATTACCTTAAGAGAAAGGTCTCAACTGAATTACAAAACGTTCTTCACTATCACGCTCAAGAAACATGGCATGTTCATGAGAAACCTCCAATTCCATCTTGACTACTCTTTCCTCAATGTCTTCCATGTCCATGACTTACATAGGTTCCCAAAAGAAGCACTTTGTTTTTATTGTATCTATTCGAGTCACTCCATCGCGATATCCTTCAACTCTACCAAACTACTCAGCTACCTTTTCCAGTGTCAGTTCGAGGGTCCAACCCCAAGGGCACGGGATGTATTTACCCTTCTCCAATGGTTCCTCCCAGCTCATCAATGCACTAAATGATTAGCTGTCTGTTATAAAACTTACGTTGTGGTCATGTTCAGGAGGCCCTGCTCCTTTTTACCAAATACGGCTCTTCGTCAGCAACAATCATTGATCTACCTCTCCTCATTATCATTGATCCACGAATGGAATGATAATAACCCAGACAGTAAGTTTTTTCGAGTTGTCCCATCCAGGAAAGTATATGGAAACACAATGGATCCTGGCCAGTGCTAACATAGTAGATCCAACATCAATCCCAGAGCATATTATGAACAATGAGAAACTCTGTTCTTCCAAACATCCAGTTTCTGCATCATGAGACGAAGCACTTGAATATTCGTTCTAGACTCATCTCTCGAAGAAAGTAGACACTTCTGATGATGAAGATTTCGAAGAAGATGACGAACATTATGACTTGGGAGAAGAGCACTTTGATCCTTATGAAGACGATCCATCTCACCCAGACTCTCGTCGGAAGTAATTATCATAGATTAATATTAATAATTGTCTCGACTAAAGGACAAAATAATGATGTAAGCTTTAAGTCACTCTTATGTGATGTAAGCGCTTACCTCATTTAGGTTGTATTATTAACTAGTATTATTGCTTGCTTTTGTCATGCTTATGTAATGCTTATGCCAGGTACCTTTTCCTCATCTATAAAAGGAAGGCTCCCCTTCATTTGTAGGTCATCCGGGGAAAGAAATAAAAGCTTCTTCCATATATCTCTCTTGTTCTTAAGTTTAAGTTCATACTCTTCATGCTTTCTCTTATTCTCGGTGACCATATCTCCTAGTCGTAGTCATCCATTATCGACCCTAGTCTCCCAGTCTTGGGAATCACCATTTGGTATCAGAGCACTAAAGATGGTGCCGAAATATTGGTAACATGATAAACAAAATGGTGCCATATAGAGTCAGAACAAGAGATGGAAATTCCTGATAAACAAAGGGTACCAATATATGAAATGTTATATATCACATGTTATATAAGACTTTACATGTCATATATTGGTATCCAAGCCAGATTATTTTGGCACTGATAAACAAAGGGTACCAATTTCCATCTTTAGTGCATGTTATATATTGGTAGCTGGCTTGGATATCACTATGGATAAACAGGTGTTAGAGCAGTGACGCATATTTTGGCACTATTTTGTTTATCATGTCATATATTGGTATCCATTGTGGGTCGATAATGGATGACTAAGCCTTTAGGCACTAAAAATGGTGTTAGAGCAGCGGTTAAGGTATAATTGTCCAGGGAAGTGGGACGGGCTTTGTATGTATTTTTGCCATCTCACATCTACTATGGTGAATTGTATCTCATAATAGTGGTTGACTACTAATAAACTATTACCATAGTGTTTTAGGTGTATATTTGGGCACTTGGTGCACTATAGATAGATACGAGGATACTAGCTAGGGTTTGGCGGATCAAGAGCTTAGATGTATATGCTATAAATATCATCTATGAAAGTGATGCATATTTGTGCAATATATAACATGATAAACAAATGCACATGAGGCAATATTTCTGTAACGCATCCACAATAAAATCTAAGGTAAAATAAAAAGCTAATACCAAAGTTTCAATTGATCTCTAATTTTGAAGATGCAAAGATCATGGCATGGGTTGTACAAATTGGAGATATCGTGGACAAGTTTAGCAAACCTATTTGATACAAATATGAGGGATGCATATTGTCCATTGTGACACCCACATTGATTGTGCTAAGAAAACCAGTGCCAAATTTTTTTTGTTTGTTTAGTTTAGCTGTGAGTCATGTCAATTAAGAAAACAAACCCGTGTTCCATATCCTCCCTACAGCAGGTAGTCAATTAAATTTTATATTTCATGAGTTCATATCTTTAGGGTGGATGTGAGGTTTGCCTATATCTTACCCTCCCAAGACCCCACCTCCGGTTAGATTTACTCGGTTTGTTTGGTTTATTTCATTTAGTTCATTCTAATTGGGTCCTTGTTCCTTTGAGTCTGTTCATGGCTTTTGGTAATTCATCCCTTTTTGGAATGATTTTTCAACCACCGCTTGGTTCTATTTACTGAAGTCTAAAGGTAAAATATTTGCTCTCTCTCATGACTTCTGTGCATAGGCCAATCCATTAGAACTATGCGTAGTGACAATGCAGAAAAACATCTTACCTCTTATTACAGTAAACTTCTGTCTAAAAATTGAACATGAATCCTCATGTGCTTATACAACTGAAAATCACCATATGCTAGATGTAGCTCCCACATATTAAATTCATCATAAGGTTCCATCGATTAGGTAATATTTCAATAAACATAGCACTACCCTCAGTTATTGATTGTGAAATTCTATTGTCTAGTTTATACTCATCTGCAATGTTGTTTCACGTTTCTCCAAGGATATATGGTTGTGTGTGTGAAGTCCATGAAACGAGTCTAGGTGGAACCAAGTTATAACTTCTAGGTTTAAAAAGCTATAGCTGTTATAGTCTTACCTTGAATAGATACTTCACGTATGGAGATGTTACCTTCTATGAGTCTAAGTCCTACTTTCTTCCCATTAATCTTCTCCTCTAAAGCCTCCAGTTGTCCCTATGACACCCATGCGGAAGGGCACTCATCATTGCCCTTGACACCTTATCCAGCCTGTCCTATTTTATGTTTATGAATCCCATACTTTTACCTTAGCCATAGATAATCATCCTATTCCCACAACTGCGCAAGAAGCTTTGTAGCATTTAAGATAGGATTATGCACAAAGAAATGAATGCACAATGCAAAGTGAGACTTGGGGAGTTCTAGGATCCAAGCATCCTGATGCTGACTAGGAATGTTTTATGTCAAAAGAAATGTGTTGGAGTTACTCTCAAAGTATGGGTCGTTTGGTTGCAAACCTGTTAACTCACCTATGCTTCCAAATGGTAGTTATAGGTTTATAGCCAGAGAAGAGAGGACCGGAACCTTTTGAACGATATAGAGCTATATGAACATCTTGTAGGAAATACAAACTTACTATAGTTCAAACATGCAAGTAGGTGAAGCTAAAGGAAGGATGAGTGTGTGGACCTATAGTTATATGCAAAGACAAGTAAGTTTGATGTGCTATGATTTGATTTAGAAAAGATTTTAGGTGTAAAGAGCTTAGAGTCGATAACAAAAAGTAAAGTCAGTGTTCTTAGAAGCTAGAACCAATTTCTCCACCCAAAGGTGGGTGTCAATAAATATATGTGCTCATATGTCTTCTTTTTAGCACATAGCATAAGATGGATGAGGTGAGTACCTTGATTAAAAGCTTGGAGGGCCTAGAACTTTGTAATGTATCAGCTCGCTCTAACTCTATAACTATTTGCTCTAATTGTTTTAATTTCCAGGTGAGGACTTAAGGGAAAGACTTGCTTGAATGTATACTTAAGTGTTATTTTATCGAAATGGGAGGAAGCGGGTAGCCACTCCCTTCCTGGAAACTAATCACACCCTGCGATGGGTATTTCTGCTGAAATGCCTCCTTCTGATCTCCTGTTCCTCCCCTTTTTTCATCACTAGCCTGAATTCCTTTCCTATTTAATTCTATTTTTGTGTGACCTATAATGGTTTTTATTTGCAAGTGCACAGATCTGATATATTGAGTACACAGCAGGTTTGTTCATACAACAGCTAGGTCTGCAACTTTCTTTCTGCCCTTTCACCTATCTGTGTGAAACCTTCTGCTGCACCTCCCCTTCTTACTCCCTCAGGTTGCTCCTAAGGGTGTGTGACCTGGCTATATAGCTGCTAACTAACACTTGGATTTTAGCTCAACAACACTAATACTCATCATCATGATGTAGATCAATTATCCCTGATATATATGCTTAATCATCTACAATCTTGCTTATCACAACCAAGTCTCTTTAACACAAGATAATCACACACACATATATAGTCATGTCAAAAATTACTATTGTTGTTGACATTTGGACGCATGGTATTACATTGTAGGTCAGACAGTTTTCGTAATATTGGAGCCCCGTTGATACATTAGTTAAGAATGGTCACTTGTGCTTCTTTTGGATCTGAAATAAAACATACAGTGACTTCTTCCTTCTTTAGGTCGCAAGCCAAGAGACATATGGAACTTTGGGTGCCATCGTTAAGAGCCGGACAGGAAACCGGCAGGTTGGTTTCCTCACAAATAGGCATGTGGCAGTTGACTTGGATTATCCAAATCAGAAGATGTTCCATCCCTTGCCACCAAGTCTTGGACCCGGGGTGTATCTGGGTGCTGTTGAGAGGGCAACATCATTCATCACGGACGATCTCTGGTATGGGATATTTGCTGGGACAAACCCAGGTAATATTAGTTGCAGTTGATATATGTCGAGTCATGTATTATCTGCATGTTTGCCACAAGCTTAAAGCGCCTTGATGGTCGAAGTGGCTTGATTTTGCTCCCAAACTAATATAATTAGTTGTTCACTAGAAAATATTTCTTCAAGAAAGAAGAAATGCGGGTCAGATATTAGAGGTGGAGGGGCATAAAGATTATGATGCAAGAGGATGCCTCATTCATGATATATGCAATTGTGAAATTTGAAGTGTGACATTATTTGCTAGACTTGTTGCCTGCACACCCCCCCCCCCCCCCCCCCCCCCGGGCCGGGGAGGGGGATTGGAGCTAGGGAGCAAATGTGCTTGTACACCATATTGGGTGTGGTGGGATGCACATGGATACACTAGTGTATCGCAGAATTTTTAACTACAAGAACTAGGAGATATGAGGTTGGGGTTATCATGGGGTACTTCTCGTCTGCTTTAAAAATGATTGGAAATGAAAATACTCGTAACTAAGTTGGGATTTAGCAATTCTAAAAGCTCAAATTTAAGATATTCTTCTGTTTGCATGAGAGGCAAATGAGGTGACAAAAAGGAGTTCCAATGCAATAAATCCTCCTTGATAGTTTAGATTAATACAAGTGCACTAAATAAAAATAGCATGAAGAGGTTGAGCTTTAAAATGTATATTAGTATATATATGCCACATAGGTATGCAGTAATTTTCATGAATTTTTTATTTTTTCTATATCATATACTACCTCCTGGTTGAAGCCTTTGAGAAAGTGATAAGCTTATTTTTCTGTGACTAAGAGTTCATCGGCTTCGAGTCATGAAAACCACCTCTTTTGAAAATGCTTGGGAGAGGTAACATACATAGATTGCCCCCCTAAAACTCGTAAAACTTAGGGGGCGTTTGGTTTGCAGGATTCCGATGGAATTCCAAGGAATTGCAATGATCAATTCTATTGACCAAATTCCATTTAGGCGTTTGGTTTACCTACGGAATGGAGTTGAATTCCACACATTCTACCATTCATGGATTTGGTCATTCCATCACAATTGAGAAGGAATTCAATTCCATCCAAAAATATTCTGCCAACCAAACTCCCAGTTAGGTGCCATGATGCACTAGGGTCACCCTTTTTTAAGTACTTACCTTTGTCCATAAAATAAACTTGCACTTTGTCTTTCTAATTATTTATGCACTGGTATCCCTCCACTAGTATCCTTGCAACACAGGATAGGATACTTGAAGGGGATACCCTACCTGCTCATGAAATTGGACATAAGCTCAGAAAATTTCAGGTACTTTCAGATACCCAAGGAGACCAGCTATTAAGATTAAACTACTTGATGCTATTGGGACTATGCTTAATGATCAACACTACCATAAAATATGAAGAGGAGCTGGTGATTTGTGTTCCCAGGTTTAATGCTTGTAGTTTGTGGGATCTACTCAAAAACATATATAGATGTTAGGGGTTTGCTCGACTGTAGGGAAGGACCCAACGGATAAAAGTAGAAAGTAATATGCTAACACTTCAGTAGTAACAAATAGGTATAAGTTGTAACATGGAAGAAGAATATATTATTATCTGTTTTATAATGAAAAACTGAAATGAAGTGAGAGAATGTGACGTTGTAGGATCAAGTATAAACTCCCCTCTGTCCTCTGCATTATTTATGAAAACATGTATGCTTCTGGAGACAGAATTACCAGATATCAGATCATTAGTTTCCTCTAAGGGTGTTTTAGTCATGCTACTTTCTGTATCTCTTCGGTTCACTGAAATATTGCAATTTGGTACAGGAACTTGGTTACAAGTAACAAGATTATTCCCTAAACTCTCCTTTTTCAACTGAAGTATATACAAATCTGATAGATTTTAGCTGTAGTGGTCGGGTTCCAGGCTCATGGTCAACTTAGTCAATTGCAAATTTCTTAAGTAAGAATGCCGAGTGTATCATACACCTTCATCTCGCCGGCTCAAGCATCTTCCACATCTGTACATACCATATCTCTCCTTTCCTCATCTATATTTCCATTCTAGTTTTTTTCTTTTCAGTTTTGAAATTTCCGTCCCTCCTTAAATTGTCTACTTGTGAAATAGAAAAAAAACATCTCTCATCTAGTTCAAGTTGTCTCTGTTGTTGCCTATGACTCTCACCTGTTAAAAACCAACTGCTAGATGGTAGCTTCTTTTTCTGCAAAAGGAGAATGTGCATGCTGTTTTATATAAATTTCTAGAATAACAGAATTAGCGAGTATTTTCTAAACTGATATTGTTTGGTATTTCACATCTTCATCCTGCAGAAACCTTTGTTCGAGCAGATGGGGCGTTCATTGCATTTGCCGAAGACTTAAATGTGTCCAACGTGATCACATCTGTGAAAGGCATTGGTGAGATTGGTGACGTTAAAGTAATAGATTTGCAGTCCCCAATCAACAGTCTAATTGGCCAACAAGTGGCCAAAGTTGGGAGAAGTTCTGGCTTAACTACAGGGACCATAATGGCCTATGCCTTGGAATACAACAATGAAAAAGGAATATGCTTTCTTACTGATTTTTTAGTGGTTGGAGAGAACCAACAAACTTTTGATCTTGAAGGTGACAGCGGAAGTCTCATTCTTTTAACAGGACAAAATGGTGAAAAACCAAGGCCTATTGGGATCATTTGGGGTGGTACAGCCAATCGAGGCCGGTTAAAACTGAAAGTGGGCCAGCCTCCAGAGAACTGGACAAGTGGAGTCGATCTTGGACGCCTTCTTGATCTTTTGGAACTTGATCTCATCACAACCAATGAAACTCTTCAAGGTTTGTACCCTGCAGATCCTATTATGGTCCAAATCATTATTGTTGATGAATAAAATTGAAATAATTTTAGTAAATAAATGCTTCTAATACAAAATAAAGGCCTGGTTCAAATAAGAACGGTAAATGTTTTGAGAACAGGGAACTGATTTTTTAGTGTATATACATTGATGAATATACTCATTGACAGAATACATATTTTGATGAAATTTATATAGTGTATATTCATCAATGAATACACCATATAGAATTAGTTCCCTGGTTGTCAAATTATTTGTGGTTCTCACATGAACCCTCCCCTACAAGATAATTCACTTTATATTCAAAATCTAATTTAGTATAACAAACAAGCTATGAATTATCTTTCTTCATTATAAAACAAAATAGAACTAGTTTACAAGATTAATCATATTACTGTTACGTTAAAAAAAAAAAAAAAAAGGTGCACTGCAAGATCAAAGAAATGCATGGGCAGCAGGAATTGAATCTACTGTGGGAGAATCATATCCTTCTGAAGCAAAAGAAAAAATGGAAGAAAACTATGATGGGATAAATCTGCAGGAAGAAGAATTGATGCAGGAGGAGTTCCACATTGAAAGTGGCACAGAAGCAACTCCTAGCGTTGAACATCAGTTTATATCGAACTTTTCGGTCAGATCTCCAACTGCAAATTTCAAGAATCTTTCGCCATTGAGACATGAAGCTGAAGAAATTTGTGTGAGTTTGCAGTTGGGTGAACCAGAACCCAAGAGATGGAAGCAATCGCTTGGAGAAAACCTCGATTGACGTTTACGGTATGTAAAGGCTGTCTATTTTCTCCCATATTCATGTTCTTAACTTGGCTGCTAAATAATCTATAACAACTGGAATGCATGGTTGAGGTTTAAATATGTGCATTAATTATCTGTTTGTGTGCATTCAAAACATATATATACTGCAATGCAACTACTACTCTTGAAAGAGTTGGTACTATTATTCATAATTACATTGAAAATTTAATACTAGTATTTGGTCCTTTTTTGTTGTTAATGTTCACTATCATGTAGCAATATTGTTATTAGAGTGTTACTCCCTTCGCCCCAAAAATAAGTGTCTTTATTGTTTTTAATTAAAATCATTACTCCGTCTTATCATTAAGCGTAAAATAGTATTTTAGTTGATTAAAATGTGTAATAATTACATATTTTTTTAAAACTATGTGCATTTTTCATTGGAGACATTTATTTTGGAAGGGGGAAATATTACCGAATGAACCATATTGTTACTTAGGGGCCGTTTACCAAACACTTATCCGGGATAAGTGTTTACCAAGTCATATTACCTTACCGAATGAGTATGACAGAGACCAAGAATCTTACCCGGTAAGAGCAAGGCAAGGACCGAGAGTCTTACGCAGTAAGTGAGGTCGACGACTCTTACCATGGTTAGCGCTTACCAGGTAAATTGTTACATAAGATGCCATTTTTATTGACTAAAATCTTATCCGGTAAGTAAGTGATAGTGTAAAATTTTACTGCTAAACGCTTACCGGATTAGTGTTTGGTAAACGGCTCCTTATTAGGTTCAATTCCTGACATGATCCATTTGCTAGGACTAACCACAATATACTCCTCCCGTGGTAAATATATGCTTTCCAGTCCTGTCTTTAGCTGGTAGGAATAACCACAACATACTCCTTATAAAATATCTGCTTTCCAATCCTATCTTCAGTTAGGACTTGGGAGACGGAGAAATTGGTTTCTCCTTCTAAGTTGTAATTTTATTATTATAGAGTAAATTACGTTTTTAGTCCCCGTGGTTTGTTAAAAGTTTCTATTTTTGTCTCCGTGGTTTTGAAATTATGATTTTCATCCCTATGGTTTATAATTCATTATTGTTTTCATCCTTATTACTTGAACTTTATTGCCTCTTTCATCCCTCTGGTGTAAAACTCATTTTTATTTTAGTCCGTCATGCTTATGAGTAGTAATTAGCTCCAAAGACGAAAATATAAACCATAGGGATCAAAACTTCAATTTTGAAACCACAAGGACGAAAACCACAACTTTTAGTAAACCACAAGAACGAAAAATGTAATTTGCTCTTAATTATAAAATGTAACAATTACACGCTTTAAGTGTGTGCCTTTTTCATCATTAAAATTTATTTCGATATCAAAAGGTCTTTGGCCTAGCGGTATCGTAGTTCTTAGCCTCCTAGGAGGTCAGGGTTCAAATCTCACAAAAGGTGAGGAGGGTGTGTGAGTTTATTTGTTGTATATAAATATTATATAGTTCAAAAAGGAAATATTTATTTAGACGAAGGAAGTGATATGGTTAATATGCTTAGTTAGCAAATGGCTGCAATTGCTCTACCTCAAACAATTCAAGCTTGTTAATGTACAAATAAAGAGGGTAGATGCCAACCTCTAAGGCACTGGTCCCATGGTCCTTATAAGGGAGGTAAAGCAGTGTCTGTATCTATTGGTAGAGGAGTGGTATCCAGGCTCGACCTTGAAACCTTACACATATGGATAACCTCTATTATTAAGGATAGATTAGCGGAGACTTCTCAATCTACAAATGCAGTCATTGAGACAACATACCATGGATGTTATAACTAACAAAATGGGTTGGTCGAATGAGTTGGGTAATAATAGATCAAAATGAATTAAGTTGACCTATAAAAAATAACGGTCCATTTTTTTATTAATTTATATACAATTAATATATATATAGGGGAGCGATCAAATGCAAACCACTTAATTTGTACAAACCGTGCAAACTGCATTCAATCAATCATAATTTTTCATTTTGTTCATTTTTTTGTAATTATGAGAGGTTGATTAATCATTTTTATTGTGGAGGGTGTTAATCATAGATATTATTATCTTCATTATTTTAATTTTAGAGAAATACATGAAACAGTTTCATTAATGTTAGAGAAATACATGAAACAATTTCATTAAGTATTATATGA